ATATAAAGTAAAGAAGAGGTATATAAAAGCGAATCGACGATTGAGGAATATGCGTGTATAGAGCACTATATAGAATATTGCGCTGTGACGGGACGGGAGCAGCAAAAAATGGCCGAAAGTAAAGTGCTGTTTTTCCTTGAGAAAAGAAAAAGCTAGAAGTAGCAGAAAAAGAAGACCAAAAAACGATACTACTCTCCAACTGTAACCGCTATCAACTATCGCCAAGATCTCACAGAAGCTGTAGCTGCCGCTGTTAGTTCTGCCGACTGGCATAGAATATATCGTATGGTAGCCAGCGGAAAGAAGAATCGCTCAAATGATAGAATATCTGATTTTCCGCACGACGCTGATATGCGCATAGGTGGGCTAAAAAAAGGTGAGTAAACGTTTCGTGTTGTCTGTGAGAATACAGAGATGGCCGTCGGTTTGTCTCGGATACTATTGGGTTTTATTATAGATGTTATAGCAACATCGGTACAGATGGCAGCAGCTGTTACAACAAGGTGTCTTGTCCAACGAAGTGATAGGGCCTTGAATTTCCGTGGTGGTATCGCTAGTTCGATAGGCTGAGAATTCGGTGTCGCGTTTGTTGATTTGTCCGCATTATTTGCTTGTCGTATTTCAGGTACTACAAGCTATATCTCCGTATGACTGCACTGCTCTATTTAGCATTGATAAGATCGTTTTGACTAATAATAACTATATGGAATTGAATCAAATCCTAGCCTTTATTGAAAGCTACTGCTGATCACTCGTAGTATTACTGACAAAATAGGTCACTGCATCTTCTTAGAAGACTTAAAATGGAACCATTTAAAAATATTATAATTAGCAGGTTGTAGAACGTTCTTAATAAAACACGATGCAGTTAGATAGGCCCATATTTGTGCCTGTTATGAGTGCTACTTCATCAACGTGAGCATCGTCGTAGCGTATTGATTAGAATGACCAGGACCAGAGCATCGCTTTTGCTATACTATGGTTGGGAAATGGTTTGTACGGTTAACGTTTGCTAGCATTATTATCGCTGTCATCGTTATTATTGAGATGGTCGACCGTTTTTTTAGGCCGGGTCAGGCCGAATGTGGATGCAAATGCGATCTGCGTTTGTACGCTCAGTGTGACACGCCCTTTCCCTAGCGTATGAGATCGCAGTAGTTATGCTTACATCTATGATGGCTCCCTCCCCTATATCGTCATGATGTCTTCCCTTGTACTGCTATGAACAGACGAGGACGATGGGTGGAGACGCCAAAGACCGCCCAAGCAAGACTGTCAAGAACGCTCGTTTGCTTCAGGGACCCAAATCGTTCAAAAGAAGCCATTCGGTCATCGCGTTCAATTGTGAAAATACGTACGGTAATGTCAATACGTAGGTTATAGACTCTTCCCCGAGTTGCAACTCAACGAGCAATTTTGCCAGTCTTTTTTTTTTCGAGCTGATTTTCACTATCGTCCCTAGCACTTGTCTCGGCGTACGTCTGTCTTCTAGACACACAAAGAAGTATATTCATAAATAGAGAAACATTATATCAGAAACGTATCTTCGTTTAGAAGGGAAGGCATTTCACCTTATTTCTAACCGTTACTGCTGTATTTCGGAAAACCGTGTTGACCGTCGACAATCAGGAAATTACAGCGGCGAACCCTCTCAGATCTGTATATTTGGCATCATCTTAATTGAAACTATAGGATCAAGTCCCGGTACGCGTCACTTCCTAAGATCATGATGATAGTTTTAGTGAAGATGCAGCTTTCATTGTACGAAAAAATACAATGGCACGCTTGTAGATGTAGCCGGCAGCAGAACCGGTTGTCTTCTGTACGAAAGGATCTATAATGAGTCGCTAATAAATATTGAGATATCTCACTGTTCACTGTGATTAAAGCATTTCTTCAAGCTGTCTGCTCTACTGTTATTGTTGTTGTTACGGATGGCCGACGCGTCAAGCGCCGCCTCTGCTCTTGTCGAATCTGGCCGTGTCTATGTCTTGGGCTGGTTGGCCCACATACAATCTAGCAAACAAGCGACTAACGAAGTCAAATGACAGGTAACTCTCAATCAACGTCTCGAATGGCGTTTGAGGAAGCGTATCTTCGCGGTACAACAATGCGACTACATCGCATTTGGAGACGTCACTGACCAACAGGGTTGACGGTGGTGCTTACATTGCCGCTATCTTGGCAGTGTCAATTGTGTATCTAGTTTGGCGTTGGGTTCATTGCATCCGTAGATACTCTTGCCGTCAGAACAATCTCAAGGACTGTGCCAAGTCGTATCGTAAATAGGAGGGTGGGCGAACAGTTCAGGCTCGACTTGTCGAAGCAGTTAAGAGATCAGCCTGATCTGTTTGTCGTTGCTGATGTTGCTACTGCTGTGATCTGACTTAGCAAACTGGCAGAACTGAAACACTAGCGATGATTCAGATGCGGGCAATTTGCCATCGTGTCATCGGCGGTTGAAACGAGTACGTGCCATCTACTGTGAGCTTTACGATTGTCTCTTGTCTGCTCTTGATTTCTCTGTTTTGTGTGAGGCCCTTGGCGTACGCCTCAAGTGAGGATTGCAATGACGAAACGCATGACATTAGCCGCCGTTCTCGCGGACGATCACCTCTTTTCTCCTATCGCCCGCTTGCTCTCGGTTGTATGTACGTCATACCAGTGTGAACCCTTACGACTATAGGAAGCGGCCAGAGTAAACGCGACGCCTGGATGTTTCTGCTATTTCCCACAAACGGACGTGCGACCCGTGAATGCACCCACGCATGTGTGGGTACGCTTAGAATGAGAAATGTAGGCAAAATCCCGTAGAGACCTACTCGCTTTTCAGGGCGTTCTTAATTCAACATTTGTGCTGTCACGCTATCAGAGGCTATATGGAGTCAACCCGCTTGTTCGTTTCTGTTCTATTACTTTTGCCTAACTCGGCATACCTAACCTTTGCAGGCCTACATCGAATGTAGGCGCACCTCACATTGTCTGCTTTTGTTGGAACCTTTGGCCTCTGAACAGCCTAATCGCTCAATGACTTTTCTACTCGGTCGTACCACTGACAGAATGTGGTGAATTTTCACGGAAATGCCAGAACAATCGACAACGATAGTCACATAGGAACCGCAAACAAACGGGATTCTCAAATTCCGACCCACCTTATTGCGGCTGCCTCTGCTGCAGCGGCACGATACGGCAGTTGGGGCGAGCGTTAACGGCGCCCGTCTAAACGAAGGGCAAAACGATGGAAGCGGCGGCGGCGGCGTTAGCGGCGACAACCGGCAGCACGCAAGCCAGCACTAGGCTAAATGGGTTCTAACTTCAAATTAACGCATGAGAATAAACAGTGTGGGTGATGCCCATGTCAGGATGTGCGTATAAGACCCGTTTATATTTTGGTGAAATTCCTGTTCGCGAGATGAGCTGCTGCTAGCAAATGAGTCCTGTCCCCAGTTAGCGAGCCCAGGCAAATACGTATTGCTCTAAACTTGCAACACGAAGCTTAACCTGATTCAAACTTCCAGCTGACTGTATCGTCATAAAGATCGAATAAAAAACCAAGCTACGATAAATGTTTGAATTAATTCAACAGGTAATATATTTTTAGTAAAACTAGTAGACAGAAAAGCTATAATAAATTAATGTTGATTATGTCACTGTGAACTGTACGTACATGCAACTGATGTATATTACGGGTGGCTGAAACGTTTTCAACAACACCCTTATTGTAACTTAAAAAGTGAAACTAGATTTTAAAGTTTCCGTTTAAGATATCGTGCACCGAGATAGCTATGAATAGTTCCGCAATTTCACTAACCTTAACAATAACTTAAAAATAACGTCACTGCTTAACAATAGCTCAAATGTTGGCGCTTCGATTGTAGCCGACTGACGCGCTTTTCTAAGCGCGCTCAACTCAACGGTTCTGTGACGCTGCGGATGGTTGTATGGAATCAAACGGCCTCTAAAGCCCTGTTGACGTTTCTAGAAAGTTGCAAGATATCAACAAGGTCGTATACGACATCCACAACATTTTGCATACGTTTACCGCAACAAATGGAACCTTATACAAGGAAACATGTCTCGTTTGCTCTAAAAATTCCTCGTGCAACTGATTTGACAATATCGGCCGGTAATGGTCTTTGTCAAAGTCTGACAACAAAATTCGTTTCGATCTTAACTTACCCGAAGCTGGCTGTTTGTTGTTAAAGTTGATGATGTTGTTGTTAGTTGGCGAAGGCGAAGCTGATAAGGGTGGGTGCGGCCCTCCAACTTGACCAGAATGTACAGGCCCCATTGAGGGTCCGAGTGGCGACAAGGTTCCGGGGGGCAGCGGACTAACTCCGACCGATCCTGGTGGACTACCTAATGGTTGCACGATATCATTGCGCGACTTGCCCGTAAACGCTGAAAAAATCATAGATACAAATAGCTATTGACAAAGGTACTCAACTAATCGTAAAAAACTCGGCGTAATGGAGGCCATTTCGCTTACAAGCATACATTCATTTATATACATAAATTCAAAATGTGACTATTTTTGGATCGACCTGGTGTTTTTCTACCTATTAGCCACAAAAGAGTAAAATATACGCGTTTCAAGATAAAGATAAATTGAAATCGATTGATGAGTCACCCTTTACATGTTTAATACTAGCAATGTGTTTATATACATATAGAAAAATTGCCTTTATTCCACACCCTGCACAATGCGGCTATATGACCGAATGCATATATATACATATATCTATATATACAAATCTGTATTTTCCACAATTTTAATCAAAGTCATTGGACATTTCTCTAACGCGCAGAATTAGATTATACATAGATAAAGTTGCAATTCATCAACTGTCCTTATCCTTTCGCTCAAAAAGGTCTATATATTTTAGCATGCCCCGTTTAGTGAGTGTCTGACAACTACAATAACGTCCGGCAAGCAGCGCCTCTGCGTGCGACTCTTCTTGACGACTCTCGCTGGCGACGCCGCTGTTGTTGGGGGGTTTGCAGGTACTGTTGTAGTGTCAGCAGTGTCATTCCTATGCGCTGGCATTTGTCCCCCGTCAGATCAGGGTGCGGCAGGCAGGAACCAGCACCTGCGAGGAACTGCTGACCCTTTCGAAGATGCCACGTTGGCATTGGCGTGAGGAAAACCAGTGGGAGAAATGCCTATAACAGCTGCAGTGGCCGTAGGGATACGGAGAGATAGAGTAGGGAAAAAAGCCAACGAGCGCAGAGCGCGAGAGGGAAATCTGGGGAAAAAAATGCCGAAAATGTCCCTTAGTAGTAATAGTTGTAGTTGTGTAAATGTGTTTCGTTGTTGAGGTCTTCGATTGCCGATGTTGCTGGGCTTGTGGCAGCTTTCCTGCCGCCGAGGTCAGGCCAACAAGTTCACGTCGTCCGAGTGACGGCTACGCTCATTATTATTACCACGGCGTAAGCACTGCAGCTGCAGCAGCATCCGCACCAACAGCATCAACTGCCGCTACCGTCATTATTATCATCACTATCAGCATCTCCACTGCTGCCGTTAGGGCTGTCGAAGCACCGCCATGGATCCGCACGTTGCAGTTGCTTCGGGCGATCGCGACGTCAATGTTGTCGACTTTGCTATTCGGTAGCAACTCATGTGGACGGCGCATTGCATCGCGTCGCGTCGCGTCACCGCCTAGTGAAACCAAGCCAACAAGCGTGTCAACCAACCGCCCAAAATTCACCAAACGAAAAGCGGAACAGCAGGACCCAGATTTCGCAATTGACTCAGCACCGGTTGCCGTGAACGGCTCTGCCGTGAACGAGGGACGAGTGAAGCGCGCTGCGCATTCGATCGCTGTCGCCATAGCCTCCGCATGTTGGTGCAATTTTTTGAACCCGCTGCGCTGCTCTGGCGGTTGCCAACAACTCTGTTTATGTCGGGGTCGCTATTGGTATTGATGTCAACTAATGTTGATCTGGCCTGTCGCTGTCGAAAGTACGGGCGACGTTCGGTTCGAAGGTTTGCTTCGCTGAAACCCAGTCGGAGACGCAGGGCCGCGGCCACAGACGCCATGCTGTTGACTGGGGCTCCCGGAGTTCCCAGCGTGAAGCGCCACAACCGGGTTTGTTTGCGGATGATGACTGGTGGTTGGTTGACTGTTGTCGGTCTCTCGTCGCTGCTCCCGCAGTAGCAGCAGCGCATCTCGTCCATCAGAGCAGGCTTTTCTAGCTACGCATTATATGATGGTCGCTCGTTCAGCCTGCGAGGCCGTGCGTGGCTGCCGATGTCGGGCCGACGCTGACGTTTTCAGAGGAGCTGCCGTTAGGATAAAATATGGCAAAAGAAGCAACAAGCGACGTTGGCGAGTGGCAGTGACGGGAACACAACACGAAAAAATAGTGACGAGAGGCGGAAAAGGCGCATAAAGTTGCAGCGACGTATGAGAAAGAGGGGAAAATGAAGAAGAAGATGAAGAAGAAGAAGAAGTATATTACGGCGGCGCCCACAAAAAAATACCTGAAGAACAAAATCCAGAGCGTCAAGCAAAGGGCGGCAGTAAGCTCCGAACGCAGCACTAGCCATCTTCTATACACGAACCCCTGATGCCGTCACCTTTCGTTAAATCAAAGTTGGGCCGGTGCCCAGTCACAGCACGCACGGGAAGACAATAAAGTATTAGATGGAGTTGTCGTTCAGGCCCCTCTATACAGGCCCCCTTAGGCCTTAACGTAGTGTCTCGTCAATTGCACAGAAGCAGTATCACTGGAGAGCGAGATTTCGACTTGTGCTGTCAGACTTGTGATGGTCAGAAGGAAAACGGCAGGACAATTTCAGCTCCTCGTACTTGCGCTGAGAGACGATAATGGCGATGCCGTAGAAAAACCCGCTACGCGAACTAGATGCGACGTCACACGGCTGGCTGAGGTATTAAGAAAAACCACAAAACGATGACGGTGTGAGTGGATGAGCAAGGCAAAGCTGGACCGCTGCTGCCGTTGCGAAAAGTAAAATAGCACACATTCGACCCCATCGCTGCTGCCGCCATCGCCGAAAATTGGTGTCTGCTTCCATCTAAAGTCTCCGGAGGCTTTATACGGACGCCTGAGGCGGTTGGCTGGTGAACGAGTTGAAGCTACATAGTTGCATGTGAGAGCGGGCACTTCGGCAAACGCCCGAAGCCAAAGGCGTCTCGACCACGGACGTCGAACGTCTCATCAGTGTTTGTCGTTTTTCGGCTGTCAGCTGTGTTGTGGTTGGTCGCACGAGAGGGAAAACATGAATACATGTAACCAAGCGTAATTTCTAAGTAGAAAAGCAAAAAAGTTTTGATGGTAACGACGACAACGCATGTCAAAAACTTAAGAACGCAACATTGCTTTCCGAAGGTATTCCGTTCCGTACGCTCAATATGAATAAAGAGATAATGCTAAAAACACATGGTTTATGTGTTATGTATTGTATAGCGTGAGACTCTGCGGAACAAGGAGGGCAATACGGCAAGTAGTCCCTTGAAAAAAAAACGGTTACGATATAGCTGATACTGCTATTGGTATTAGGTCTGTCCTATGCTTCATAGAAATGGCGATTTTAGCTCCGCTCCATCAAAAATAACCTACCTACAAAATCGCGAACTAAATTTATTCGATGAGATTTTTTAGCAGAATTGTAATTATACCACCGCAAAAATGTTTCAAGATAAGAGGCTTTATCTTTGAACAGAAACATTCTTATCGATAATTTTCTCAATCATCGGTGATTAGATTTCTTGGTCGACGCATAATTCTTCCACTTTTCCAGTTTCTACATTCATCCGTGTATACCTTCATTTTAGCCCAATTCTTCACTTGGTGACAATATGGAAGCTATGCTACGAGACGGCGCAACACAAATTATTATAAATATTTACTCCAACTATGTTCTTCATCTACTCGATCTCAATGAGTGATCAAGTATCCAGTGTCGAATACATGCATGCCGCTGCTGGTGTTTGGGATGCACCAGATCATTCCGATGAGATCGGTGGGCTCGCCTGTATTATTACTGCTGCTAGTACTATGGTGGCATGTAGCAATATCATCTTCAATCTGCCTCTCGTTCTACTGCTCGATCTCGTCACATCATGTCGTCCGCCCTTTCTCCCCGCCCTTCGTGTCCTTGTCTTTTAGCTCTAGGCTCAGCCTTCTCTCTCTGTCTTACTGCTTGTTCGGAATAGCAGCAGTATAAGTCGCTGCCAACATGCTGAGCAGCATAACCAATGCAGGCAAAAGGCAGCATCAGCCCTTTTCCCTGTCAGTCAGCTGTCCGTCACTCATTTACATGGGCCTGTCTGTCCTTCGGCTGCTATTAGGCCGCTCATTCAACTATAGCAGTGGCTATATAGTCCAGCCCAACCAATCTCAAGCACAGTTCGGTGCCCTTTGAACAGTGGACACAGACGATCATAGCAGTAGCAGCCTTGTGTACTCCACTCTTCTATCAGATCTGAATTTGTTTCTTTACTAACCCCCACCCCTGCTCCTCCTCCTCCTCCTTCTCCTTCTTCTTCTTCTTCTCTTCCTCTTCCTTCTCCTCCTCCTCCTCCTCCACCTCCTCCTGGTGGCCATTCCGATGACCATAGTTATGTTCTTTTTCAAGGATAGCTCAAGGAAAGAACTCGAGAAAGGGAAAGACAGGGTCGGAGACAAGAGTTTGGTCTCCATTGTTCTGTGTTTCGTCTTCGTTTCGCCTTTCGTCCTGCTGTTGATATCGGAAGCGCCCCTTTTTCGGCGTTGCTTTTACCTGCTGCTATTCTGCTGCTTCCATTGCTTTTCGCGTTGACGCGCCCGACGTCGCTTCGAAAGTTTCATATTATACATATAGGATGAGTCAATAATAATAGTTCAAGTTTTGGTTAGTTTGAGACACAACGATGCTTTTCTTTTTTCTGACATTAGGCTGTCATCTCGCCCGGCGAGTATTCTCATGATCGATATGGGGTCGTATCGTATCGCATAGGTCACTGGGCGCGAGTGTGTGTCTACGCATGCACAATATGCACGGCGGTCGTCGACTGTTCCACCGTATTTATGTACGGTACGTGCCTAATAGCGGAGCCCTAGAAAAGAAATTTCCCATGTTCTTTCTTCGATCGTTTCCAGAAAAATGTTTTAGCTGTTGTCTTTAATCCTCTGTGACTGTTCTCTGGCCGCTGAGCCAACTGTTGGATACTGTTTTCAGTGATGACGATAACATCGAATTACGAACGAGAGAAGCGTACAAAGAGTAAAATTAACGGATAATACTTTGTAAGAAGCGGAAAAACGTAAACTCTATTATCGCTCTTATTATACTTATAATCGGTTTATATCAAACGTTATATTTGTATGTAAAAAAATTAAAAAAAACAAACATGTATACATGGTCTGCCGGACAGCTTGTACAAGTCT